CCCCCCCCCGTTCTTTCCGCTCCCCAACAAGCTTGATGGATATGTGCCGAGATTTCTCTGCTTTGAAATGGACGTCAGTCATGCTAATTCCGGCTGAGAGAGCGGTCGTATAAACACACTGAATTATGTACTATTTTGTAGCTTTATGCAGATCTTATGTACATATGTATTTTATGTAGAAATCTCCTCGACTTACAACCATTGCCTCTTTGTCACTCACTGTCGTTCGGTAATTAGAAGTTGAAGTTCCTGAAGTCACCTTGATAAATCAGCGTGTACCTAAAATGTATTTCCCAAAGGTGATATTGGATACTTCCGATGTACCAGACGGACAATACAGGATCAGTAAGCGGTCATATGCCCAACTTGTCCGCTTCTTCCGTTTCTCGGCACAATTATCATGATTTCTTTTTACGGCGTAATGTAAAACGTTTTACGCAAGCCTATGTAGTTATTGTCTACAAGAAATGGTACGAAAAAAAAATAACCTGTGTGCGTGGGTCGGTATAGCCCTGCGGGTGGCGGGTGCCCTGTGGGTGCCGGTGGGTGCCGGTGGGTGCGGCCGAAGCACCGCCGGCCACCGCGCGGCGCGTTGCGGTAAATTCTTTTGCGCCCCGCCCGGCCACACCGTCACGCGAGGTTCCCGTTGACTGCCGCCGCGCGGCCGCCGCCGTGAGTCACCGACCTGCAGCGGCGCGTCCGCGGGGATCCGATTGACGGGGCGCTCAACCTCACCACCTGCTTGTCGTCGTCGCCTGGACCGTGCAGGGCGTGAGGGTCGCCGCCGTAGGGAGTGCGACGTTTGAAGGAAAAGGAAGTGGAAGCAGCACGGGGCCGCGGAACTGAGAGAGACAGCCAGAGCGCAAGGCTTAATCCCCGCGCCTTTTCGGCACTGCGCGCCGCCCGCGGCAGCTGGCTCGAGGCAATCTCAAACTTTTCTCTCTCCGCCTCGCTTGCTGCCTGGGGTGGCCCAGGTGGGCCCCGCGCGGCGGGCTCCGCTCCTCCTGGCGGTGGAGGCGTTGGAGAGGCCTCTTGCGGGCGGCGGCGAGGTGACTCACTTGAGCCCGACCCGTCCCGTCCGGTCAGTCCCGCCAGTCAGTCCGGGTCCAGCGCGGTGGTCCGGCCCAGCCGCCGGGGAGACTCCGCTCTCAGACTCTCTGATTCCTTTTATTTTCTCCGCCACCCCCCCCCCCCTTTCCTGCGGGGCTCCAATAAAGGTTCGCACACAAGACTGACCGTCGCGGCGAGATTACATAAGTTTGGCGGACTCTTGTATCGAGGGGCGGCGCCGACTGCCCAGTTGGTTTGGTATCGCGCCTGCTCTCCAAAGTTTTACGCGGCATTGTTTCAAATTTTTGCACGAGTGTTTGTCACTGTTTCAAAAGTTGGTAACGTTGCGTGTGTATAGGCTCCAAAAGACCAACGTCAATTGAATGGCAAGGTTGGTGACCCTGGCCGGACCCTGGCCGTGGCGTGGAGCGCACTCCGCCTCTCTCTGACGGCCCCATTCAGGCGCTTCCGCCTCCCGCCATGCAACAACAAAAATAATGGATTTTGTTGTTTGATAAAATACACTTTCCGTCATTTCCTTCGTGTCCGTTTGTAAAAATTACAAGTGCTGGTCCTGCCATGCCATTGTTACCGGGAATTTCCCCCCCCCCTCTCTCTCTCTGCAGGGAAACGCCCGTTTGGACTCCGTGACGGAATTGATTCCCACGGGAGAGGCAAAAATAATAATGTAAAAGGCCGCCGTAATATTGAGATGGAGACACAATTGTGCAGGCCGGGCTGCTATGGGGTTCTTTGCGGTGTGAGAGATGGATCGCCGCTGCCCCTCGCGGTTCGCCCCGCCCCGCCCCGCGGCCACTGCACGGAGAGGGCTGGCTAAGGAGGCCACACGCGGCCCGCCGGGCCCGGGCCCCAGCCCCCGCCGCGCTCACAGATGAGGCTCCCCGCTTTCTCACGTGTGTTATGTTTCTCTCTGCGCGCCGCCGCCGCCTTCTCATCATCATCAGCACCACGATCGTCATCATGTGCAGAGATAACCATTGCCATTATTCCTGTCAAAATACTAGAACGCCATTCAGAATGTACGAGCCTTTCTTGAGTCACCTGGTGATCGTTTTCCACCGTTTACAAAGGAAAACTATGAAATGAATCAAATGGGATTCCGAAAAAGAAGGCCTGCTACCGACGAGTGTGAAATTGTGATAGCTCCAAAGGACGAAAGAGAGCGGTTACAGGAGCCGAGACAGCGTGCCACTAGTGACTGTCTCCTGGCACACGGTGGCACAGCACCTGTCGCTCGGAGGCACGAGACGGGTGGTAACGACCGAGGTAACGACTTCACTTAGATACCGTGCTGTATTAGCCGCTTAGCTTGCCGCTCGCTCGCCGCTTCGCTCGCCGCTTCGCTCGCCGCTTCGCTCGCCGCTTCGCTCGCCGCTTCGCTCGCCGCTTAGATTGTCCAGCACCTAGAAATTTTAATAAACAAAATTTTCCGGAAATTTTCTTAAGGTAAAAAAAGGGAAAAAAAATACAGCTCATAAAAATTTTAACATTTTGAAAAAATCTTGACTGAAACTTCCCCAAAATACCTTTTTGGAAATTTCAACTCCCTACCTGCACCCGCCCCTGCTCCCCGGGCAGGCAGGGCAGGGTGGCCTGTTTCCAGGTGCCGCTCGAGTCTGTCTGTGCGGCCCGGGCAGGCGCCGCTCTTTGGTGCGATGGCGTCACGCTGTTCGCCACGTTGTCGATGTCCGTCAGTCACGGTCCCGGGGCCCCGAGCTGGTTGGGCCGTGGGCCGCCAGAGGCCGCCAGAGGAAAGGGACTCGCCGGGGGGGACCACCGGACCGAATCCTCTCTCGGATGCCCGACGGCGACCAGCGTCCGCACCGCTCGGACAGGCGCGAGAGTCCGCCGGCGGCCGCCCATCGGGCACGTGTTATTCGCTGACCGTCTCCCTTTTAAAATTGGTGCATTGAGCAACACTCAGTTTACATGCTCAGAGTGGGTCATATTTTGGGCGTTCCTATCTTGAGCTGAATTGGGCGTAGCCGAGAGCGTAGCGCCTCTGCAGCTGAAGCTACATTTGAACGTTCCAAACAGACCCCTCTCGGTCATCCTCGTATTGAACCACTATCTGACACCTGCAGTCCAGAACCGAGCCTTATTTGCAACGCGTAAAGCACCCCGAATCTCTGCTGTGCGGATACAAAACTATGATATAACACCTCTACAAACACAGAATTTTATGTACTATTTTAGACATAGCTTACGTGCGCCCTAGTGCATTCATAGCAGCTCACGTGAAATTGCTTACATAATTATACACTGAAAATAAGCGTGCAACTGGCGTGGACGTGGTAGTGTTCAACTCTACTCTATGGTAGACAGTATCAGGTGTTGGACTGGAACCTGAACTTTGAATACTAAAAAGTGTTCAACAGTAAATTTGAACACTTACTTCAAAGTGTCCGTCCAAAGCCACACACATAAAAATATTAACACTTAGAAGTTGGCTTTCATGTGCACGCTAGTTGTTACTTTATTGATCAGCAAAATTGTGTTTACCTGTGTCAAGAAACTTTACGTAAGCTACGCATGCACAGGGACGTGCAGCACAAGCTATACGGTGCTAGATATAAAACTGTTCATTAAAGTGTGCAGATCTTTAATAACCTACTTTTTCGTGTTTTTGCAGGAACTATATGAGTTGATTTTTGACCATTCTCCACCATGTCCTTTGAGTGTGACGTTTGTCACAAGAAACTGAGTAGTGCTTCAGCACTGGTCGTGCACTTGAGGACGCACACAGGACGGAAGCCCTTCAACTGTACTGTGTGCAGAAAGAAATTTAGACAAAAATCTAACCTCAATGTCCATCTTCGCACACACACTGGAGAGAAGCCTTATGAGTGTACCGTATGCGGTGTGAAATTTTCTCATACCTCTACCTTGCATAGACATATTGAAAATCACACAGGGGATAAGCGCTCTACCGGCTGTGTCTGCGTTCTGTGCAATAAGCAATTCTCGAGCACCAGTACCCTTCGTAAACATCTTCTAACCAAGCATGCAGAAGAAAAACCTTTTGAGTGCACTGTATGCCACAAGCGTTTTGCTCGATATGACTATTTGCAAAACCACCTCCGACAGCACACGGGAGAGAAGCCTTATGAGTGCCCTATGTGCAAGAAAACTTTTGCTGCATCAATCAGTCTACGTTTACATCTTCGCACCCACACAGGAGAAAAACCATACGAGTGCACTGTGTGCGGCAAGAGGTTTAGTCAGCATTCTCATTGGCGTACACATCTCCGCACCCACACAGAAGAGAGGCCTTTCGAATGTGTTGTGTGCAAAAAAACGTTTGCTAGGAGTGACCGTCTTCGTCTTCATTTTCGAACCCATTTAGGCGATGGAACAGAGAAACCATACGAGTGCACCATTTGCAACATGGCGTTTAGCACTTCCGCTGGTCTGCGTGGGCACTTAGTAACACACACAGGAGTGCGAGAGTTTAAGTGTGATGTGTGCAACAAGATGTATACGTTACACCAGAGTTTGCTTGTACACCTGCGCTCACACACAGGAGAGAAGCCGTTCAAGTGTCCTGAATGCCCAGCTGCATTTGTGCGTCTGGATTACCTACGAAAGCATTTTCAAAGGAAACACTGCGAAAAATCCGGTACCAAGGATCGAGTACAAAACACTGTGGTGATGAAGGTGGAGGATGACCATACGTGATTCTCTCACTGTCACTGTAGTGCCCATAAAACCATGTTAAAAAATAACTGTGCTCCGTACTTACTGTGCATTTTTGTGTGTATTTGTGTGTATTTTTTTATTTATTGTGTCCCAATTTCACCAGCATTTAGTGATGTAGCACAAATGTACAACAAAATATTTGCAAACTGCTATGAGCTTTTGTTGAAGGAAAATTAAATTTATTTCACGTGTGAATCATGCCGCCTCCCCCTTTTTTTTTTCAAAGTCCCTAAATTAGTGCATTTTCCGTGTGGAAACACGACGGGCTGCTTGCAACGTGAGAATGCCTGCGCTGCAAAGGAAATTGCCGTCGGCGGCGGTGTTGGTAGTGAACGCAGCAGCGGGAAGTGAACAGCAAGCAATCGCGGGGCAGGGAGATACCGCTGGGGCTGTATGCTTGAACCACGAGCGTGTGACGCGAGCGCCGCCCAGCCATGACCATGCAGCCTCGTGACTTATTGGTCTCGTTTGTCGGCTCGTAACGAGGGACCCGGTAGCGCTGCGGCCCGGCCGGCAGGTGGGGTGGGGCTGTGGGGCAGTGTCGCAAGGGCAAGGCGGGCGGGCGAGGCGGGCCGGTATCCTTTTCCGATATACCCTTTCTCCTGTCCTATCACATCTCTCTCGGAACCACGTCGTTACGCTCCGCCCTCTTGTGACGACATTCGCATCGTACAGTCAGATAGAGAGAGGAGAGGGGAGGAGAGGGGGGGGGAGGGGGTCAGACAGAGACAAGAAGCAACGGAATACATTTCTTACAAGGTCAATTGTGGACCTTTCTCTGTGGAAGCCGTAGCCCTTCATTTTTTTTTGTCGGTTGTGGCGCTAAAGGGCCCGCGCCTGGCCGGCGCCCGCCCGCCCGCCCTGTTGGAGGTCATCACGCTGATTGGCTGAAACTCGCACTCGTGCGAAATGTACATAAATATATACGAACTCCTGGAAGTTTTTTTTTCTTTATGAACACTCCTGCACGGAGGCGTGATCCAGAAATGATGGACTTTCCGCCGCAGTGCTTAGGGCGGGCGGAGGCGGTGGGACCAGTCCAGAACGGCCCTTGGCGGGGCCATCGACGGGGCGTTGGCGGGGCTGGGGGGCGCTGCTACCGTATTTATGGCAACGTCCCCTTCCCTACTCTCAACTTTTGGCATTACCGGTGTGAGCGGGCGGCCAACCACCGCGGGCCGGCTCGACGCGCCCTTCGGCCCGAGCTCGGGCCCGCCCCGCCCCGCCACGCCCGCGCTGTCCCCAGGGGTGCGCCACCCGCCACCAGAGGGGCGTGGCAGTATCCTGCGTGTCAACACTAACGGCACAAAATTAACGGAGAAACGCACACCAACAGAGACGTGCTAAAAATTACAGGAGGGGGAAAATTAATTTAATCAAAAGGAATGCTGTGTCGCTGTGCTTGAAACTTCTGCAAAATTCGCAAACACTTCATAGCAGATTTTTTTGTATTTTTTTTTTGTCGCTGAATTAATTTCTTTGTTTGAAAGGGCCTCCGCGTGCGGCGTGCGTAACTACCTGCTTGATCTGATTGGCCGATAAATGTAAGCTTTGGGAGGGGGAGTCACCGCGTAGCGGATTTTACGAGGTTCCATCTCGATTGAGGGACCGGTTGAGTGGGGCTTAGCGGACGGCTGATCGACGCGTGTCGGAGTTAGCACCCCGGTGTCGCCGACCGAGGCTGCACTGCTGAACCAGGCCAGGGACCGGGGATGTGTGTTTGTGTGTGTGATCGAAATATCACACAGTACAGAGACAGCCCGAGACAGCGCGGGTGCAACAGGAGCAAAATTCGAGAGTTCATTTTCCTAATTTATAAATCTCAGGCCATGCGTCTTGTAAATTTATTTTAATAAATATCAGGATTCACTGTGAAAAATATTCGTAGGTTTTGGGGAAAGTTTGTCGTTATGTGTCGTAAAACTACAATTTGAAACTGCAAATTTACTAATACTTCGTATCCTTCTTGGAATTGACCGACAAGCATGAATGAGCTGTCGCAAATTTATAACATATAAGATATTTTTCAAATTAGAAGTTACAACATGCTGAAATTTACGCGGATGTTTTTCACAGTGTTTGACTCCCAAATATAGATCGTATTATTTTTATGTGTTTCAAGATTTGGTTCACTGTTAAATGCATGCGAAAATCTGTTCTTTGCATTTGCAAAGAATTTTCAAGCTTTGTGTATTAATGTTTACATTGCGAACTATTTTCTTTGCATTGCAAACATTCTTATAAAGCTTCAGAAATTCTTCGCAAGCGTTTAATAGTACGTGCGGCACGCTTTGTTTAGCTTTTGCTTCGTGCTAATGAACGCATGTCTATTGCCCGCAGGGGGGTCGTGACGTGACGCTGCTCGCCGCACCGTCCAGCCACCCGCCGGCGATCTGACCGAGGTGAGTCCCGTGTATGTAGGTGCGTCGTGCACCGGGGTGAGTCACCCGCCCGTCACCTCAGCTCAGACGGGCACTTGCATGACAAACTCGACGCGCGGTGACTTGTTGTGTGGAGAGTGTGTCACGCGTGTAACACGTGTGGAGAACCTTCTCCTCCTCGCAAGCTGCCGAGCCGGGAATCTGCGTCGGGTCCAGGCGGGCAGCGACGCCGAGGGGGTAATTTTGATTTATCTCCTCGGCCCCCTCTCTTACTTCCCGGGGGCGGAGCGGGTTGAGGCGCCTCGCTGAGGGGCGCCTCGCTGAGAGGGCCCAGGGCCAGATATCTGTCTTGTTTTGCCACCTCCCATACGCGGCGCGCTCGGCAGCAGGCCCGAGCCTCGGGCCGAGCCTCCCTGCCACACGATGTCGCTTGTATATTGTCCCACATTTTTTTCATCCCCCATACCACCAAAGTTATGGGACGAACCCATGCCAGACCTCAAAAATAAAAGGCTAGGGGGATGGTAAATATCATCCGAAGGGTGACTGCTTCCTGAGGAGCACGAGTGGGAGAACTAAAGTCTCCCAAACTAGCAGAAACGTGAATACTGTTTCAAGATTTATAGTTTTTAAAAATAATATTTTTTCTGGTTCTAGGAATCTGCACCTACTTAGGCTATAACATTTTACAACGGCAAAGGGTGACGGGGGCGATATGTAGCTGCGTCGAGCTAAACCCTTTATCCCGCCTCCGTAATCTGTAGTTTAATTTATGTGCGGATCCCTGCGCTCTCTCGCTCCCGTCTCCAACAAGCTGTTCCCTCCCTTTGCCCGCCTAGAAGTTCTTTTCAAGTTTAGCCGCTGTTTGCGGCTGGTGAAGAGGCTAGCGGCGGCCCGGCTCGGCTCCCCGTCGAGTTTGGCAAAGAGAGAGAGACGACTTGGCGTCGTGGCGAGGCTCTGTCTTGCTGGTTTGCTGCCGTTTTGTTCTAGAGTTTGCAGCAGACCGCTCTCTCTCTCTCTCTCTCTCTCTCTCTCTCTCTCTCTCTCTCTCTCTCTCTCCCGCTCTCTCTCGCTCTCTCTCGCTCGCCCCATGTCCCGCATCTTGAGTGATGACTTAATTATTATACCATTTTGTAAATTATGAGTGGTGCTTTCTCATGTCGCAAATGATTCTTCAAAAGTAGAGTTACACGGAGATAACAAAAGACAACAACAACAATAATAATAAAAGGCAACGTCTAGAAAAGACCTTTTTGAGAGCAAGGGAAATGAAAGAGAAAAGATAGGAGAAAAAATATGCCTCAGGAGCGGGCGCTCGGCCGTGAAGGACGCACATCTAGCAGAATTTATGGAAATCCAGCCGGGGGCCTGTCGCTATGGGCCTGCCTGACTGACGGCTTGCGATACGAGGCTCTTCTCCGCACCCCCACTGCCGGCCCCCGCTGCCGCCCACGCTGCCGCCCGCGCTGCCGCCCCCGCTGCCACCCACACCCCACAGTCCACCCTTACTTTGTCTCTTCCTGGAGCTGTTCGACACCGGAGCTGGCTGCTACTGTGGTGTCGTTCCTCGCAGGTCCCCCCCCCCTCTGTCTCTCTGTCTCTGTCTGTTGCTGCTGCTCGCTCTCTACCGTGTCCTCCCCTCCCGCCCTTCCCGTAGGAGAGGAAGGGCGTGCATTCCGCCGGCGTGGATGCTAAATATCGTGACATTTCACCGACGCCAGTCCGGGCCGTAGCCAGCCCAGGCCCAGACCTTTAGCGGTGCCTGGTCGTATAGGGGCCCCCCTCCCTCACCTGGGCTGCCCCCAATAGCCAACGGAACCAGCGCTGTCCTTGCCCTATCCTGCCCTACGCTGCCACGCTCCGCCACGCCCCACCACGCCCGTCCGCGCTACGGTCTAGACTCTATAGACCCGGCGTCAGCTGCCCTAAAGTCTGTCGCGCAACACGGTGCCCGTCACTCAGCCGCTGCCTCCGCGCGGGCCCTCTTACACCACGCTCGAGCACATAGTGCAGATTGATAAGCCCCTGGACTAGCTGGGCTGGCTGAGGATGTGGCACTTGGGCGTTTGTGTTATAGGGGGGTTGTTTGCCGCTGCTCCCTCCACCCCTGCTTTTCCAGGCTATCATCATCATCCTCACTGATCCAGTTCATCACTAGCGTTCGCTCCGAATCCCCCATCCCTGGCGCCTCTTCTCCTCTTTCCCATTTCCACATGTGATATTTGGTGCACCAAGTAAAAGCCTGCGACATCATTGAAACGAACTACACTGATAAATAAAGTGTTGAAATGTGTACACCTCCGAGTAAAACTCCTGCAAGAGTCTACATGCAGCGCACTTGCAAGTGTCCCTTTTTAATGCTTGCTTTCTTGGCACTACAAGCCGCCCTGTCCGGCCGTGCCGTGCCCTCCAGGTTTTTGTGCCAAGCTGCAGGTGGGGCTAGAATCAGTTCCGTTTCCAGGGCGGCTTTTATCTCATTGGGTTGAGCGCCGCTTCCGGCGAGCAGCAGGCAGCAGATAGGGTGACCGAGTCACCGAGCCACCCGCATCTCTTGGGCGAAAGAAGAAGGAAGTTTGCTCGACCTCGTTGGGACGGGCCGGACACTGCGGGCAGTGCAGGCCATTAGGAGACGCAAGGCAAAATAAGAAAAGCTGTAAATAGCTCATTGCGTCACATAACGTGTCACAAAAAAATAGCTGTCGTACGTTATCTACCTGAAATTTAGCTATGTTGCTGAACGAAACTAAATTCTACGTACATAGCCAAATGATTAGGCATCCCGTATTAAGCTCCGCCGGGGTTAGATAAGCTAATCTTTTTTTTCCGTGTAGGCAGAGGAGAATCTTCGGCGGAGATGCGCTGCTCCGGGCTGGCAGGGGGGGAGGTGGGGGGTGCGAGCGCCCGCGAGGTAGGCAGCGGCTCGGCACGCGAGTCGGGCGGCCGGCCTACCCTGCCGGGCGCCCTGGCTGCGAGGAGTCCGCACGCACCGGGGGAAGCTGCTGACGCGCTGGCACTGCTCGATAGCAACCATTGCCGTCGTGTTTGTTGGTTTGTCAAAGAGGGCTCACCGGAGCCTCGATGGAGCCTCGCTGGGAGCCTCGCTGGAGCCTCGCTGGAGCCTTGCTCACAGCTGCTGGGTCGGTTTGTATCGGGATTTGATGGCGAGCGCGGGCGTTAGTCGGGGCGTGTTTACGCGTGGTCCGCCCCGCCCCGCCCCGCCGCGCCCCGCCCCGCCTTAATCCACTCGTTATTGAGTTTACTGCTGACGCGGTGGGGAGGTCGGACGGGGCGGCGTGGCGTGGCGTTGGCCGCTAGCCTCGCCAGGCCTGGCCAGGACGGGCCAACTTGGGCCGTAACTTAGACTTGGAAGGGCAGTCGACCAATTTGGGCAGGGGTTCTTGAAAACACATTGCGGCACGTTTGAACGGCGCGGTAACGGCGGCGGCGGAGCGTTGCCCGGACGCGACCGCGCTCCTTTTTGCACGTTTTTGTGCTCCTCGACTAATTCAGGCCGGGTCTTGTTCAATTGTGTTCCAAAGCAGAGGCCCAGTATTATCACTCTTCCAGTGCACGAGGTCCCCCTGCTCCAAGAGGCCGGGTCGACGGCCCATCGCCTGCGAGGAGCCCGTCTGTGTGGTGGTTTTGCGGTGTGTTTCTATCCCAGGTCCCGCCCCGCCCAGCCCCCGCCACTGCTAAGCCCTGTGCTGAGTCTGTGGCGTGCCTCGGTGGAATGGTGGACCCCGGGGTGGGGCGGGGCGGGGCGGGGTTGGGGCGGCGCAGGTCAGGGCGAGGGGCGTGGCGGGGCGTGGCGTGGCCCGTGCTGGAGTTACGCCTGCGCCGCACGCTACGTCTGCCTGCTGCGACTTCCGGCGCACCCCTTCCTATCCCCAAACAATACTCTTTTCTCCCGGGAAAAAAGAAAAACATCCAAAAGCAAAATAGTTCCCTATTTTTGTTGTTGCGAGCGACTCTGACGAGCGAGAATCTCCGTTCCTTCGTCGACTCCGCGCATGTCCTCGCCCTGCAATGGCATAGCGCCTGGAATGTCGTTCAGCGTCAGGGTCTCGCTGTCGGGGAATGTCGGGCAGTTGGCTCCGCCCGTGCCCCGCCGCGTCCCTCTCGGAATCGCGTGTCTGACTGGGCCTCATCCTGCTCTCATCCGAGCAACCCCTCCTGCTACTTGCCTCGCCCGTTACAACTCCGTTTAGCGGACCCCACCCCACTCCACCTCGCCCCACCCCATCCTGGACCACCGGCATCTCAGCGCCGTTCCTCATCCCCCCCTTGTGCGCCCAGCCCCGCCCCCCGAGCGCGCGGGCCCAGCCACCCCCTCGCAGCCTGGTGGGCCCGGCCGGCGAGCCTCAGTGCAGCCGCGCGAGTCCTGGGCGCCGCCCGTGCAGAGCCGCCCCCCGCGCGCCGCCCCCGCCGCCCCCGCCAGTGTGCCATACGCCCCCCGGCGCGCGCACCGTGCTTCCCGGTTCGGCCGTCCGTTAACCCCGAGAGGGGCTCCGTACCGTTGTGTTAGCTGGGCCTGTCCCGGCTCCGCCCCGGGTACCCCACTGGCTAGGTAAGTTCGGCACACCCGATGAAACCGGTTCAATTTATTATTCTATCGAACAACACAAACAACAATAACAAAGAGGACACTAATCGAAAATCGCGATCATTTGCTCATTAGATGTGAGTAGTATTTTTTAACTGCTACCCTGCATCACCTGCGCCATACCCCTTTCAGTGCCGGTCGGCGGGGGTTTCAGTATATGCTCGGGCCGGGGGGAAGGGGGGGGGGGCTTTTGTTTGTTTTACTCGGCGCCCTAATTACTCGGCCACCTGGGCGCCCCGCCGCGTACAGGTGAGCACCTGCGCCTGCCTGCGGCCCACTCTGGCCGGCCGGTGAGCCCCCCCGACCCCCTCTCCCCTGGCGTGGAAGTGGCTGCCATATATCTGTGATGGCCTCTCTATCGGAAGGCAGTGGCCTGCATATTCATGGCTACATTATGCACACTG